TTCACAAATACCCAGAATGGTATAGTGAATTCCATATGCCTCTTACCCAGCTGCAGCAGTGAGCAAGTTATGGCCCATAATCTCACATGCACCTGCACCACCGCTGTTTCCGGAGTATTTTAAAGCAAACTTTAGACTTATTTCACTCATAAATTCTTCAGCATGTATTTCTAAGCACTTTATTTTTAATACTACTCCTGTACCATCATCACACCTGACAAAACCAAGAATCATTCCTTAATATCACGTGGATACATATTCCATACTCCCGTGTCTCCACTTTTCTCCAGGTTGTCCTGTTGGGGGTGGTTTGTTCAAATCAGGATCTAAACACAGTCCATGCGTGGCATTTGGTTGTGACGTCTCTCAGGTCTCCTGTCTTCCATACCGGTACATGAGGGAGAGCTTTGGAAACTTTTCCTGGGGACAAAAAATTGCTCAGAAAACTGAAGGTCCTGGAAAGAGGATTAAAAGTGCAGAGACCTAACTCAGGAAAGTGAGACCAGGTCAGGCAAGGAAAGGGGGCATCCCACTCCTTTCCATTGCCTTCTTCTATGTGCAGGACGACCTGCAGAGATGCAGTCTCTCCACAGACCTCCCCACCCATGTATAAGGAGGCAGACACTCAGGTCCTCATAAGCCTCATGTGCTCCTTTCCTGGGAAGACTGGGAAGTGAAGCCATCAAAAGGGAGAGTTGGAGGTGCCACCTATAGAGAGACTGGATTAAGGGAGATTGGTGGGGCTGGAGACAGACAGACCCAGGCTGGAGATGGAAGTGGGTGCTCAGGTGTCCCTGACTTTCCATGGAGGATGGGGCTGGAGAAATGGCACAGATGGAGATTTGAAAAGTTGCAATCTGTTTGCAGTTTCTAGAGGAGGCCTGGTATTGAGAGAAAATCTGGAGTGCCTCTTCTTATAAAGAGAGTTCCTTTTTTGTTCCCCGGGGGGTAGCTGCTGTTCCAACTCTCTGCTCTCTGGGCGTCAGTGCTGACCCAGCACACCCTGCTGGACTTTGTCAAGGCCATTTGCATCTCCATAAAAAAAACCTGACTTCAAAAAAAAAAAAAAAAACCTGACTTCAGACACAGCGTTCTGTCTTCTTGCCTCCTTTCCCGACATTTTTCCGAGACACTAAACGTGCTCCTGGGAGCCTGGTCAGAATTGCCCATACTCTGGCCAAAGGACCTCAGATTGGAAGGTGGGTACTGTGTGTTCACAGAGACGGGAGGGCCAAGAAAAGGCAGAACGCAGCCCCATCCCCCTGACACCCCTAATTTAGTCAAAAGTGTTGGAGCCACATTCCTTCTGGGAACAAATTTCACTGCAGAATTTATGTCTCTGACTTTCAAGGATTAGATGGTGGTGTCAGCAAGTGGTGAGCCTCTTGGCAACCGAGGAGACCCATTGATTAGGAAAGGCCAGCCTGACAGATTTATGCCTGGGTGGCCCCCTTCTCAGGGTTCATGCTGTTTTGTGTAGCACATAGGCAGGGCCCTAGAAGCAATTGCATCACCTCCGATTAATGGCTTCTGGGAATGGTCCCCCCTCATATTTTAGTTGGGCCCCTCTGCTCCATGGCTGGTACTGCTGGACTAGTTGGAAGGTAGGATTCTTATTAATGGGATTCCCCTAACTGCGTGTTGACTTTCCAGCCATGGGGTTCGGGCCTCTCTCTTCTGGCAAGAGTGCCAATCAGTAAGTGGATAAAAAGAGGTCCCTTCCCTCCCAGCGTCTGCTGATCCCACCTCATCAAACTCTCCAAGTGAAGTACAAGTGTCCCCTGCAGGGCTTAGGCTCCAAAGTGAATGCAGACATCAGTGAGGTTAGAGGTAGAAATGTTCTGTGGGTTGGGGAGGCAGGAAATCACCCTGGAAAGGAGCCACTAGTTGCTGGGAGGTGCGGGAGAGGGAGAGTAACAAAAAACAAATACAGAATAGAATGTCAGGTAGTGATACCTGTCATGAAGAAGTAGGGTGCAGGCACAGTGCATTGTATGGGGCAGTTGGGGTGCTATTTTATATAGAGAAGTCGAGGAAGGCTTCCTGAGGAAGTGACATTTGAGCAAAGACTGAACAAAGTGACAAAGTGAATATATGAAGGAGCAAGAGCAAAGACCCTGAGATTTTGGGTTCCTGAGCCAGCAAGCAGACTGTAGGAGCCACAGTGACAGAAAGGAGAGAGGGAAGAGGAAATCAGGGTGGAGCAGGACCCAGATGGTACAGGCCTTGGGGGGCTTGGTGAGCTTGTTGTGTTCCATCAAGGGTGCCGGGAAGCTGCTGGAAGGCTTTGATACCAGTTAAAGTCAGGCTCTGCCCTCTTTTGTGTCTCCCCTCGGGTGAGACCTAGACCCAGGGCTGGGCTTGCCGGTGTGACAGAGGAGGTGAGAGGCGGTGAAGGAAAGAGCTAGAAGAGCTTAGCTGGATGGTCCCCTCAGCGGCCTCATCCTCTTCTCTTCCCTCTCTGTCTTCCTCCTTCCCCCTCCCCTCATTCCCCCTCAGTCTCTGGCCCAAAGAGTGTTTTAGTTTGGGAGAGTGAACAGCCCCTCGCTTTCTCACCCCCCCCAATGTCGAGGGTATGTGCACTTTCCTCCCTGCTCCCTGACCCCCACAGAGCTCTGTTGACTCCCAGGCAGAGCCCTGGGGAGCCATGGTGTCACGGCTGCTGATCCAGAAGCCCGGGCCTGTCATTGGCAGGAGTGAGCAGGTCCCGGGTCCGAGGATTTCATTCCAGTGTGTCTCTTCAGCAAGTCGGGGAAACTAACGTTATAGCTGTTAAGCACCCACTGGTGTCTGCTCTGGGTGGGGAGGAGGTGGGGCAGAGGACACTGACAAAACCCTGAAGAAAATTCTTTCTGTGCCCTCAAGTTGTTTTTCACTAGTAAGACGGCCCCACTGCAGAGCTGGCCGAGGTTGGTGAGAAATACTGAGGGAGCTCCCCTGTGTTTCGGTCCTGGCAGGGAGAGAGTCACTGCCTTTCGGAAGCTGTCTTGGAGAAGGTCATGTTTGAACTGGGCTTTGAAACACACAGGGGCCTTCCGGGAGCACAGGGGCTGGGGTGGGCATGGAAAGTGCGCCTCCTGCCGGGAGGTTTTAGGTCCCCAGCAGTGTGGGCCAGCCCTATGTGCCGGCTTCCCCGTGCCAAGCGCCATGATGAAAAACCAGCAAGAATGGAGGAGGGCTCCAAGCGCGGAGGGGAGACAAGACCAGCGCTCAGGAACCCACGAGCGACGTCACTCAGCATTCACTGAGGAGCCAAATGAGGCATTGCTGTGAGGAGGCTGTGAGAGCAGAGAGAAAAATCAAGCTGGGTTGGGACCGTATGGGTCATCCCTGGCAGTTCATTTTCTTGAGGTCACAGAGTTCTCTGAGAATGGATGAAATCTATCAGCTGTCTTTGGAAGAAATGTATATGTGTACACACCCATTAAATTAAATTTTTTATTGAGATATAAATCACATACCATAAAATTCCCCATTTAAAAGAATACAGTTCAGTAGTCTTCAGTATCTTCACAAGGTTGTGCAACAATCACCACCATCTAACTCCGGGACATTTTGTCAATCCAAAAAAAACCTCATACCCTCTCAGAGTCCTCTCTCGGCAACCCCCACCCCCCTCTAGCCCTGGCAACCACCAATCTCATTTCTGTCTCTATCAATTTGCCTATTCTGGGCATTTTATGTAAATAGAATCATACCATATGTGGCCTTTTGTGTCTGGATTCTTTCACTCAACATAATGTTTTCAGGGTTCATCCACATTGTAGTATCTGTCAGTACAGTGGACCCTTGAACAACCCAGGTTTGAACTGTGGGGGTCCACTTTCATGTGGATTATTTTTTTATAAATACAGTACAGCACTGTAAATGTATTTTCTCATCCTTAAAATTTTCTCAACACTTTATTCTCTCTAGCTTGCTTTATTGTAAGAATACAGTACGTAAAACATATCACATACAAAACATGTGTCAGTCGACTGTTTATGTTATCAGTAGGGCTTCTGGTCAACAGTAGGCTGTTAGTTGTTAAGTTTTTGGGGAGTCAAAAGTTATATGTGGGTTTTTGACTGTGTAGGGGTTCAGTGCCCTAACCCTTGCATTGTTGAAGGCTCAACTATATTGTGGATAATATTTCTGAATTATGTTCCATTGTAGAGAAGTTTGTTTATTCACTCATCAGGTGATACACATTTCAGTTGTGTCTACTTTTTGGCTATTATGAACAATGCTGCTTTGAACATTCATGTACAAGTCTGCACACTAAAACTTGCAAACCATTTCAGGGGGTTCAAAGAACCTCTGAAACCTATCTTTTGATCTAGGAAAACTTTGTTTTACAGAAAGGGAGGAATTCAAGGGGGAATGGACTCATCAAATTGTTTACATTAAACATGTCCAGTTTTTTTATATGTCAATTATGCCATAATAAAGCTATTATCCCCATAATACAGATGAGAAAACTGAGGCTTAGTGAAGCTAGGCCAGCTTGTTGGAGAAGTCAGGATTTAAGCTGAGCTTTAACTGCCAGGCTGTGAAAGGCAACTATACATCCCATTTCCTCTCCCTCTCCACTGAAGCCCCCATTTCCTTCAATTTACTTTTGAACGGAGTCCTAATGTTCTATTTGCCCTCTGTTTTGCTAAGCCCAGTACCAGCCCAGCGCACAGTGGGCATCCTAGACTGCTGTCCAATGACCCTTCCCCAAAGCGAGCCGTGATTGAAGGCTCTGCCTCCCATTCTTCCCCTCTGGGGGGACGAGTCTCCAGCCCAGCCAGAGTGTGTGTCTGGCTGTGTTCTAATATAATGGCACCAGGGGCATCTCCTGAAAGCTGAGAAATCTGTAACCATTGGCCTCAATGCGATGGCCCTCTGCATGCCCTGCCCTATGAGGAGGTGCCAGAGTCAGGCTAAGGACAGCATGTGGCTGGGGGTTTGAAGGAGGGTGGGTGGCTGCCGACCCAAGCCCAGTGTCAGCCACCAAGCTCTGCTTTGTCTCCCAGCCGGTGGACAACCAGCAAGCCCTGGTCCGCAGGGAGTCTGTGGTCAACCTGGAGAATTTAAAGAAGCAATATGTCCGCAGGCGATGGAAGGTGTGTCAACGTTTGGGGTGGGGAGCAGGGGGCCCCGGCGGGTCTCTTTGCACAGTCTCACCTGGCAGCCCCTTTTCTCTCTCCCTCAGCTCTCCTTCAGCATTGTCTCCTTGTGTAACCACCTCACCCGCTCCCTGATGAAGAAGGTGCACCTGAGGCCAGAGGAGGACCTGGTAGGTAAATGCAGTGTTCTCTTCTTGGGCAGGATTCTGGGGTGGCCTGGAGCTCGGGGATGGAAGGGAGCAGGTGGGTGCTAACTGTTTCTCACCGGTTCTGCTCGTCCTGTCCTCTGTGCCGCGTGATCGGCAGAGGTTGCACATTTGGGGGGGGCCGCTGGGGTGGTGCCGGGAGGGGAGCACTCCGATGGGGCAGCATGGGCTTCTGGAGGATCTTGAATCCTTTCCTGGTGGGCTTTCAAAGGGACTGCTGCTGCCGCTTCGCTGCCCCGGTCTTTTCCATGAGGACTTGCAGCCTGCTAGGGTCCTTGAGGGCTCTGAATAACACGGCTACCACAGTCAATCCAAAATGTATTCCTGATAATCCGAAGATCTACTGTAGAATGAGAGCTTAATATTCGTTTTTCAATTTTTCCATTTCTGTTTTGCTTTAGATTGCCATCAATAACAATAACAACAACAACAACAATAATACTTAGAGGATATTTGACTAGCTTGTTACTGTTTATGTACATTTAAAATGAGGAACTTACTCAGGAGTGTGGCCTCTGGAACCAGACTTTCAGAATTCATATCGGCCACTTACTAGCTGTGTGACCTTGAGGAAATTACTTAACCTCTCTGTGCCAAAATGCTGTCCTGTGTAAAATGGGGTTAACAACAGTTCCTACCTCATAGAGTAGTGACGAGGATTAAATGATGACATAACCTTAGAGCCTGTCATTAGAAGTGCTCAGTGTGTATTAGCAGTTATTATTGTATAAAATCTCCCCATAGACTAAAATGCAGTGCCAAGTGCTTCAGAATGCAGTTAGTATTTCTGCTCATAGAGGTGCCCGGGACAGATGCTCCCTGCTGCATATCAAATGTGGGGAGGCCCCAGAAGTGTCTGGGATGGCACAGGAAGGGCAGCTGCCTGGGACGGATGGGGCCGTCAGCCCTGAACAGCACCCCAGGACCCGCAGCTCTTGGGCTGCATCCCAGGACCTCCCTCCGTGCCACATCCTGGGGTCCACTTTCTTCAGCCGAAGCTCTTGATTCTTGCTCTTGATTTGAGGGTTTATGGCACCAGAGGCCCTAAGCAACTGTGTGGCTTTGGCAAAGCCATGTCCCTTCTCTGACTGCTCTCCTCATCTGCTATTCAAGGGGACTGGACTTTCCCTCTGAAAATCCCCGTTAATGACAGGCAGATTTCCCCCAGCTTACTTTTTCATTGTTTGGCTCTGACTCATGCTAAAAAGTGGCTATTCAGCAGAGCTGGAGTTATTTTTATTTTTTTTAAGATTTCATTTATTTATTTGACAGAGAGAGAGAGACAGCTAGAGAGGGAACACAAGCAGGGGGAGTGGGAGAGGGAGAAGCAGGCTTCCGGCCTAGCAGGGAGCCCGATGCGGGGCTCAATTCCAGGACCCTGGGATCATGGACCTGAGCCGAAGGCAGACGCTTAAAGACTGAGCCACCCAGGCGCCCCTGGCTAAAGTTAATCTTGACCTTGGATTTCCAACTGGCTCAAGCCAGGCAAGGAGAGAGAGAAGGCTCTGTCAAGGCATATGGCAAGTGACTTGTTCTCATATGATGGAGACCATGGGGAGACAGGACTGGAGAATAATTGGAAAGAATGTAAATTTCTTTCTTAATTTTTGTCCTTGTGCACACATTTAAAAATAGCCCACTCAGTGCCATCAGCTCAATGGCTCATTCTACAAGTGGAAAAGGAAGGCTTGGGTCCCAGACATCTATTATACAGTTTTCTCAAAGGGAATTTCCTTTAATAATAATAATAATAATAATAATAATAATAGGTCCTTTTGTTCAGGCAGCCTTAAAATTGAACATCCAAGAACAGATTATTTATGACGCACTGAAGTCTTTCTGAATTAGTACCTCTTTTAATAAATTTTAATAATTTGATTAGACTGGGGTCGCCTGGTGGCTCAGGTCCTGTATCTGGCTCCCTGCTCAACAGGGAGCCTGCTTCTCGCTCAGCCTGCTGCTCCCCCTGCTTGTGCTCTCTCTCTGACAAATAAATAAATAAAATCTTTAAAAAATAATTTGATTAGACTGATGTGGCCTGAATAAAAAAGGCACTGTGACCTCCAGGATGGTTGCCCTGACTCTGGTTGAGCCATGGAATGCCCTTTACTCTTTTCCTCTTTCATAAAGATGGAGCCCAAAAGCCAAAGATGCAGCCTAAGCCAGTCAGAGCAGAGGGGGTATGGAGCAGTGGCCATCAGAGGTTGGGGAGGTCCCTGTGGCTCACCCCTGCCCCCCATCCTCTCCAGACTGAGTTCAGGAGACCCTGAACACTTACCCAAGTGGTCTTGGTTACATGGCAGCTACAAAGAGCACCAGATATCATCTTCATTATTATTATGATTTGGCTTCTCCTGGTGCCTGGTTTTTCCCAGATGCGCTGCCTGTTTTCCTTCCTCCTGGGAAGGAGGCCTCAAGGCAGTTGGTCCCTCCCCACCCTCACCCACCCCACCCCCAGACTCTAGACGGAGCAACAGCCTTCACCTCAATGCCCACCTCCCCGGCTTGCAGGCCCCTTGGCCCAGTATCAACCAGGCTGCCCAGCACAACCCCATCGCTGGCCTCTCGTGACCCTCTTGCCCTGGGCCTCTTTTTTTTTTTTCCAGAGGAACTGTGAGAGTGACACAGAGGAGGACATCGCCAAGAGGAAAGCTGTCCACCCACGGAGGAGGAGCAGCACCTCGTAGGTGGGCTGGTTCTCTCTGCACAGACTCTGGGTCCCCACTCGTCACCAGCACCCAGGCATTCTGCATCCCTGAACGCTTTGCGAGACAGATAAGCCTGCAGGGTTCAGAAGCACTTACAGAGGAGCAGGGAGCCCCTGGGAGCTGTGGCCATCTCCTACGGAGGAGGCCCTGACATCCTCAAAGCTCTTATTCTCCATAAAACGGGCTTTCACCTGTCTGCCAACCTCAGAACCTCGGGTGAGGTGTGGACTTGAGAAAATGATGTCAATGAACATCATCATCATGGAGGAAGGTCAGACTCGGGCAGGTTTCCTCACGGGATGAGGGAGCTCAGAACTAGCCTGGTCGAAAATTACACCAGAAAGACAGAGGCCTCCCCCATGGGAACAAGACAAGTGAGAAAAGTGAATCTTAGGGTGTGAGGGACCAATCCTGTGACCTCCCAGAACCCACATGGAGTCAGCATGTTGGGCTGACCAACATATTAGGCCTTCTAAAGTAGCCCACTGTATTGTAATTTTTTTTCACTTTTATTAAACTTCTGATTTACCTGATGCTTGGCTTCTTCTAGGGCTATCCCCATCTGGTTTTCTTTAGCTCAGGTGCCTGACTCTGGGCGAGCACCCAGGGTTGGGGTGCTGAGTGGAGGGTGTCTCAGAAGGTCACAGTGAACCATCCCCTCTGGACTATAGGGCACCTGCGTTCTACATCCTTCCCTGAAGGTTTTCCGCCCCCCAGTCAGCACAGACACAGCATATAATGCCTGTGCCCCCCCCCCCACTATTACCATCGCCCCTGCTGGTAGGGGCTTCATTGTGTCTCCCAACCCCTGGTACCACAGAATATGACTATATTTGGAGTAAGGGTCTTTAAAGAGGTAATTAAGTTAAAATGAGGTCATTGGGGTGGGCCCCAATCCAATGTGCTGGTGTCCTTACAAGAAGAGGAGATAGGACCTCAAAGAAAGACCGTGTGAAGACACAGAGAGAAGACAGGCATCTACAAGGTAAGGAGAGAGGCCTTAGAAGAAACCAACCCTGCCAATACCTCGGTCTCAGGCTAATGGCCTCAGAGCTATGAGAAAATAAATTCCTGTTGTTTAAGCCACCTGTCTGTGCTACTTTGTTAGGGCGGCCCTAGAAAACAAATATATTTGCCAACCATGGCCAAGATGGGGCAGGGGACTTTTTTTTTTTTTTTAAAGGTTTAATTTATTTATTTGAGAAAAGAGAGAGAGCACAAGTGAGGGGGGGAGGGGGAAAAGCAGAGGGAGAGGGAGAAGCAGACTCTCCATCGAGCAGGAAGCCCAACATGGGGCTCGATTCCAGGACCCCAAAATCATGACCTGAGCTAAAGGCAGACACTTAACTGACTGAGCCATCCAGACGCCCGGGGCAGGGGACTCTTGAAAGATGTGGATGGAGAAGGGCAAAGAAGGACCCACAGGGAGAAAGGACAGGAAAAAGAGATGGGTTACATGGACCTGGAAGTAAGGGAGGCTTAATGACGTAGAAATCTGGGCCCTGCTTTCCAGGCCAAAAGAATGGTGACGCTGACCAGAAGCCCAAGAGAAGGTCTTTAGAAGCCAGAGGTCAGGGTGAGGCACTGAGACTGAGAAAGTACGTGGGAAGAGGTGGGAAGAAAGGGGAAGTCTTGGAAAGTGCGTGAGGGGAAAGTGAGCCAGGAAGAAGAGAGGTGGGGGAGGAAAAAGGGCCGAAAAGAAAAGGCCTGGGGAGAAAGGGAGGCTGAGTCAGCAGCAGGTTTGAAGCACATCCTGTGAGGGAGTGGGCCACACTGCTTTCAGTCAGTGCATGGATCCAGAGCAAAATGGCCCCAGGGGAACAGAAAGGCAGCCCAGTTTCAGAAAAGCTCCCAGGCAGAAAGGGAGAGGAGCTGTCAGTGTGTTGAGGAAGCTCTGCAGCTGACCTGTGGTTCCTGGGTGTCCTTGTTCTCAGGCAGAACCAGCTCTCTGCCTCACTGCAGCCTCTGGAGGACAGTTGAGTCTGGGATCCAGGTCCAGGGCCCCAGGGCCTGTGAGAGGCTCTCGGCTGTGATGGGGCTCATCCGTCAGCGGGGAATGTTCTGGAACAGGGGCTCACTGGGAGCTCCTGGGAAGTGACGTGTGGTAGAGGAGAGGGGACTGCCCTCTTGCTGGGGAGCAGAGCAGTGACCGGCGTTGACAAACCCAGCCGTGAGTTTCCAACCATGAGCATAGAGTTAGCCTTTTGGAGTTTGTGTGGCCCAACTGCTACGTTTGACTGAAGAGGAAATTGAAGCCTGGAGAGAGGAAGTGACTCGTTCTGTGTCACACAGCACATTTGTGAAAATGTCTGATGAAAGCCCAGACTTCCTGCCTCCTAGCACAGTGCTCCTTTCTTCAGTCTGGTGAACTATGTAGACCCTCAATGAAACAGATGAACTTTTCACTTTGCTTCATTTTAAACATGTTCTCATCAGTCCTTTACTGCGCCCTGCCTTGTACTTCATTCCTAGAAATGGATGACATTGTCACACGTGCTTCTGTCCACCTTTTCACAGTAAAGGAACTCTGTTGAGGAGTGGGGACATCAGTCTACCTCCATGGGCTGCGAGTCAGTCAGGGAACTAGTATGTGTCTTGCAGTGTTCTAGATGCTGGGTTTAGGAGAGTGAACAGGACAGACATGGCACCTACCCTGAAGGGGTCCGCAGTCCGGGACTCCCCCCTGCCCACAGACTGTTCCTCCTAGGCTTCTTCTCATCCAGGCTTGTATCAATCAAGCTCCACTGACCGAGTCCCCTCAGCCCAGCTCTCTGGTATTTGATGGCACCTACTAGGTCTCCCAAATCTCTTGGGAAGCACAGGGCCAGGCAGTGAACAGAGGTGGGCCTTTGAGGATGCCTTTGAGGGCCAGCAGCCAGAAGAAGCCAGGCGCCCATGCCTCTCCCATAGAAAGGCTCAGTCCCTGCAGCCTCTCTGCTGGTGGATGGCTGGTGCCCCCCAGGTGTGATGACGAGGGGGGCAGCTGAACCAGGTATGTAGGGTTGCCTCTGAAGAAGGCTGTGTTGGCCCGCTGACACTTCAAGGCTGAAAGAGACCACAGTGTACTCTGAGGTTAATGGAATATTCCAGTGATGAAAGCTGTGATCGGTTAAAAAGGCAAGTCTTCAAAGAGATCTGAGGGAGCCCTGCCCCGGGGTGTTTGCCTGTGTGTTTGCGGGATGCTGCATTCATATTTCACAAATGCACACATAAATATTTTAGAGCACTGTGTTTTAATGTCAATCTCACCAGCCTTCCTGACTCCAGATCTTAGATTGCATTTGCCTTTTCTACTCACATATTTATTTGGTGAAAACCCTATTTTGGAAGCAAATGAAGACCATATCATAAGAGGTGAACCACAAAATCTCTGTGAAAGAAAAGTCAAGCCCAATGCTCTACAGACAATCAAAGTAGGTATATGTGAAAAGAGCTCAACTAAGGACTGAGATATCACAAGGAATTTTATCTGGCGCTGGCCTGTAGAACTTTCTTTCCATCTGGTTCCCAGCTCGATGTCATCCCGACATTGTTCTGTTTGCTGCAGCTGGACGCCAAAGAATAATGTCTTCTTCAGTGGTCGGCTGAGAGGATCCCATTCTAAGCAAACCTTGATGGGCTTAGGGATCGGAGCAATTGAAGAGTGGTGAACAATGGGTAACTGTCTTTTCAAAAAGCAAAAACACAGTTGGTGACCTAGCACTCATAGTTTCTCTCCTCCTGTGTTTCCCTTTCTCCCACTAGTTCTCTTTTTCTCTCCCCCTCCATCTAATTGCAAGTCATAGTATATAGCTGAAGTACATATTTTAGTAATGTCTTCACTTACTGAATAAAATTCATGTTCCCAGTTCTTAATCTAAGAAACAGTTGATTGTATTATCTAGGAGGAAGTAATTTTGTAAGGATTTTTCCCCCTGTGGATCAGTGATCTCCACCCCTGAGCTAGAAGAAAAACGAGAAAAAGTAAACAACAGAAGCTCATAGTAATTTTTAAAAACCTGTTCTGCAAGAGGAACACTTCACATACAGGCTTTGACTATACCCTCTTCATAACCTTATAAGGGGAACAAGAGCCCCATTTATACAGATGAGGAAGCTGAGACTCAACAGAGTTAAGAAATTTGCATGCAGTCACACAGCTTGAGCACTTGAGATCTAGATTCAGCCCAGTTTTGCCTACCCCCTAATCCACATTCTTCTCTCCCACTCCTGGAGACCCAGAGTGGAGTGGAAAAAAAGCATCCCAGAGAAGCACATACAGTATGATACTATTATTATAAAGCTCAAAAACTATACCATATATCGTTTAGCAATAAATGCAAATATGATAAACCTACATGTTAAAAGCAAGGCAATGACATTACTCAAAATTCAAGGTGAAGCTTACCTTGAGATGAGGAGGAGCTCATCTGAGCTGAGATGGAGAGGAGCACAAAGGTGGGTGCTAGGCTGTTGGCAGTGTTCTAGCCAACCCTGCATTCATGGTGGGCTTATGGGCGTTCATTATTGTGCTTTCTTACTTACATATTAGTTATCAACTCTTTTGCATCTATCAAATATTACATTAAAATAATAAAAGAGAGGGAGTGAGGTAAAAAAAAAAAATAGATCCTAATGGTCATCAGGTCATCAGATGCTGGAGTGGACAGGACATGAAACTGCATCATGACTACCCCTGGGTGGGCCTTGCCCCTTGCAACTCAATGATGGGCTTTTCTCTGTTCTTTTATTGGCACCTTGATCAGAGCTCATCCTGTGAGTGTCCCTGGGCTGAATTAATAGTCCCATTTTATTTTATTTTATTTTTTGAGAGAAAGAGAGAGCAAGAGAGCGCAAGCGAGGCAGGGAGGGGCAGAAGGAGAGAGAGAGGGAGAGAGAGAGAGAGCGAGACAATCTTAAGCAGGCTTCATGGCCAGCGCGGAGCCTGATGCGGGGCTCGATCTCATGGCCCTGAGACCATTACTTGAGCTGAAATCAAAAGTTAAATGCATAACCAACTGAGCCACCCAGGCGCCCCATTCATATTCCCGTTTTAAAGAAAAGGTGCAGGGCGCCTGGGTGGCTCAGTTGGTTAAGCGACTGCCTTCGGCTCAGGTCATGATCCTGGAGTCCCGGGATCGAGTCCCACATCGGGCTCCCTGCTCAGCAGGGAGTCTGCTTCTCCCTCTGACCCTCTCATGCTCTATCTCATTCTCTGTCTCAAATAAATAAATAAAATCTTTAAAAAAAAAAAAAATAAAGAAAAGGTGCAGAAAATACTCCCTGCCCCTCCCACCTCCACCTCCTCAGTCATCACCTCCCGTTGGAGTTTGCTTAAGGATCCTGGTCTGAGGACATCTTCCGAGCCCAAGTAGACTTGGATTGCCAACTCTTGCTCTGGGTGTCTTCATGTCTCTGAGTTTAAACCGAGAAGCTGGACGGGATTTGAAAAGCCCTCTGGGCCATTCCCCTGTTCCTGGGCAGGACTGCACTTGGGGCTCCTCATCTCATTTTGAATTGAGAGAAGGTGATCTTATGCCTTTCATCAATTCCT